ACTCCACAAATGTCCGTTATTCTCAATTGTTGATCGACTATAATCCCAACCCAACACTGCATATTGTGCAATAAGACTATTATGGGCACACACATTGCGGTATCAATGCTGAAACGATATATTGTGCAGCACTACTTCAAATTAAATAATGCACAAAGCCACAAAACAGGTCTTAAATTATTAATAAATATGTTTACAATAAGAAGTCCACTGTATATCTAGTGATTCATCCACATGTTATTTTCAGTTTAAAATGCATGAAAAGGCCAAGCGGTCAGAAAAGAACTAAAGTGAATCCCAGGCGGTCCTCTAAATTCTCTGCAATTCTCTGTGAAGGACAGTAAATGCTTTTGGCAGTCTATACTGGAAAAGTGACAACACACCTCGACGGGGTGTTGCAGCTTTTAAAGCTTCGCAAATACAAAACCATTCAGCAAACAACGCCAAGAGATGGACATAATGCTGTGGTCTTTTGAAGCTGATCCACTCACCAACACAAGACTGAATTACAGCGTGTATCCTCTTGTAAATATTGCATCTTAACAGCAATGCTGATTATCTTAGTGTGTAGCTGATGCGTGTCTGATTAAGAGGCGGCGCAGGAAACTCATTCCGAAGGCACAGGAACCCAATTAAGACGCTGCTTTGCTGCAGAGCTCATCATTTGGTCCATGATGCCCTGATGAATCCACATTAACATCCAAAACTCTTTAGAGGAACGGGTCTATATCCCGCCACCAAAGCGAGGCAATCTTCAACTCACTTTTTCCCCCTCAGACACCATTTCAAGGGTGACTGCAATGAATGCTTCAGTTCACATGAAGTATTAAAAGAAAAGTGCTGCCTCACGTTTGAATCTGAGGCCTTTTAATTTCACCAGGAAGTTCTTGCTGCCTTTTTGATTCATAGTAGTTTCATTCTTGAATGCATACGTGTAAACCAAGAATCTGCATTATAAAGCTCTGCCTAGATTTTTGTTTACAGCTAAAAGCAATTTTTTTAATATGAAGGTAATAAAAGTATTACTAGTCAGTGCTTTGATACATAAAGAAATGACACGACTTAAAAGAGGGGTTGTTTTATTAATAAAGAGATTCCTTATCAATTACTGATTTAAAAAATAACTGAAATAGTGATTTATTTTGATGGCTCCTTAGTAGTTAATAAATAATTAGACTTTTTCTTCTTTCTTTTTTTTAATATCCATTAATAAATGCTGTTTTTAAAGAGATAGTTCACTCAAAAGTGAAAATTCTGTCATCATTTACTCTTCCTGACTCATTTCTTTCACAAAACTTCATGGGATTGAAATTCTTTACTTGACTACTGAATAAAGTTCTTTTTATAGCCACAGCCATATCACCCTGCAGCCTAACCCCGGGTTACTCACTGAAGCTAAGCAGGGCTGAGCCTAGTCAGTACCTTGAGGGGAGACTACATGGGGAAACTAGGTTGCTGTTGCAGAATAAAGTGAAGGGGACACTATACTGTCAGTCAGTGCTGTCTTTCGGATGAGACGTTGAACTGAGGTCTTCACTCTCTGTGGTCAATAAAAATCCAATGAAACGTAAAAAGATGTAGGGGTGTAACCCTGGAATCCTGGCTAAATTCCTACCATTGGCAACTTACTGTACCAATCATGGCCTACCAATCATCCCCATCCACCAAATTGGCTCTATCAGTGTTTCTTCACTTCACCAATAGCTAGTGCGTGGTGCTGTTGTCCTGTGGCTGCTGTCATATCATCCAAGTGGATGCTGCACTGTGGTGACTTTTGTCAAATTATAATATGTTAATGAAGGTTTGATCTCTAAAACCAGCTCATTTTACTAGTTATAAGCCTACATTCTACTAATACATTGAGAGTTAGTTAAAAATGTGGTTGCAAAGTCACTTACAGACAAAATTCATATAAAATAAAGTCCAATCAAAAACAAAAAAAAATATTTTATTACCCCATAAATAAAATAATAATTAAATAAATAATTCTAATTTGTTGTTCAAGTTACAATCTTGCTCTTTTTATTATCAGTGTAAGACAATATTATTAATGTGCTGCTTAATATTTTTGTGGATTTTTTTACTGAAAGAGCATTAACAGTGTTTCGTAAAATTAGTGTAAAAATAAATACAATCAGTAATATCTTTGCTTTTTAACCATTAATGCAGAAAGTATATTTGTTTCTAAACAACAAAAGAATCATACTGACCCCAATCTTTAAAATATTACACACGCATGTAGACAGATTACATGCGGTTATTAAATTTGTCTGTATGTGAGGGCTGAAGGAGGGCTGTCTGACACAAGGTTGTCATGTTATATTAGGTCAGAAGTGACATAATCCTGACAAGTGTGAAATCCCATTCCTAAAAATCCAAATTCTTCTTAAAACTGAACAACAACGGAACTGAAGTAATGAATGAGCCCAAAGTGAAATACACCCTTAATGGGATTTTCAGTGACAGAAGTTTCCCAAAATTGTCAAACAAACTGTGACTGTTCGTCTATGCGTTGTCCATTACATTTAGGTTCAAAAGCTAAAATTACATTCCTTTACTGTTGATGGTTAAACGTTTGTTAGCTTCCATAATAGACTTGCATTCACTTTTTCACAAGGTCATTTTTGTGAATATTTATTCTAAAAACAAAACCTAAAATATTCACATCACAAGAACTGCAAAACCTCAAAGTTACTCCCCCTTTGGCGTGTCACTGCGTTTCCATTTCACAAACAAACATGAAGTGCTGACATCATCAGCTCATACTGACGCCTTCATCGTCACAACAAAGAAACACACACAGAGCCTGAATGTCCATGCAGCGCCAGAGTTGACATAAGCTTTCACGAAGATGACCCTCATAATAAGAGTTGACAGCTGTGTCATCTCTCCGCTAAAGAGCATCTCACAGCGCTGACATGTGCCTTCAGCAGCTTAAGTGACGTGAAGAAATCTCAAATCCTGTTAGACACTTCTGATTCCGGTTTCCTCAAGGATTTGTTTTCAATAAAAAGCACACAACCCCAATCTGAAAATGGTCAAAACACAACATTCCAAAAGATTCAATTCTTCCGTTGAAGACCAAAGAAAGATAATTTAAAGAATGCGTTTTTTTTTTTTTTTTAACTATGAAAGTCAATAGTTACAGGTTGGGTAAAATGGTTAAAAAAAAATTAAATGGTTAAAACATCTCGCTCTCCCTCGTAAAGCTAATACGGAAGTAACTAAAACTGCAATTCATCGAAATTCCACTAGGCCTGGCTCCAAAATGGAGCATATTTTTAATGACCCACCTGTTAAAATGACTAACATTACATCAGAAAAAAATGTGAATGTGAAAAAAATGTGAAATTCTCATAACAAATCTATAAATGTATGTTTTATTTAAGATAAATTATCATTTATAATTTTCTTTAGAGGGCAACGTAGTGGCGCAGTAGGTAGTGCTGTCACCACACAGCAAGAAGGTTGCTGGTTCGAACCTCGGCTGGGTCAGTTGGCATTTCTGTGTGGAGTTTGCATGTTCTCCCTGCGTACATGTGGGTTTCCTCCGGTTGCTCCGGTTTCCCCTTACAGTCCAAAGACATGCGGTACAGGTGAATTGGGTAGGCTAAATTGTCTATGGATTATAAATTGTGTATGGATGTTTCCCAGAGAAGGGTTGCGGCTGGAAGGGCATTTGCTGCGTGAAACATGTGCTGGATAAGTTGGCGGTTCAGATTAGAAAAGGGACTAAGCCGAAAAGAAAATGAATGAATGAATGAATGAATGAATTTTCTTTAGAACTTGAATACGATCCAGAATCTGACAGATTGATTAGCTGCAGGCTCTAGAACAGTCATCTGAAACGTTGTCCTAGTGTAATCCATGGATTTCATAAATAGCCTTGCATTTACTAACACAGAGTGTATTTGAAGTATTTGGGAGTTATTCGCATTTTACTTTTGTAGAAAAACAGGATAAGATGTTTTTAAAAGACTAAAAACTTTATTGATATACACTGTAAAAAAAGAAATCTGTAATTTTACAGTTTATTTCCGGCAGCTTGGGTGCCAAAAAAAACCCCCCTAAAATAACGGCTGTTAAATTACAGAAATTTCCTTTACTTTAAATTTCTGGTAAATTAACCTCTGTGATTTTACAGTCAATTTCTGTAATTTAATGGCCGTTATTTTACGTTTTTTTCCAGCACCCCAGCTGCCGAAAATAAACTGTAAAATTATGGATTTTTTTACAGTGTAGTGTACAACTAAGCACAAGTGGTCAGAACACAAACTAGTCGCAGGTACTGACGAATTAAGCGTTTCTCCCAAAGAAAAGCCAGTCTAAGCAACATGCTAGCAGGCATCTGTAGCTCCACTCATGCTCTTTGGCCTTTTTGGTGACCCTCAGTCGGCACAATGACGCACAAACAAAATGGTGACAGTTGGCCACACCCACTTATCCATATTTTTTTACAGTCTTCGGTTTTGGGTGAACCATATCTTTGATCGTTTCCCTTGTGTTACCCAGAGAAATTCATAAATAAACAATCCTCTAGCATTCAATCAAATTAACACATACACTTAATACACAAATTCACTTCATTAAACATGTACACAGACATCACCTATGTCCTATAAAACTTTAGGTTAACTATGTCTTTATATATTACCTTATATTTGCTTGTAACCTTAACTTCATTCGATTGTTATTCAATGTGCACCTTCTGTAAAGCTGCTTTGACACAATAATAATATTGTAAAAAGCGTTATACAAATAAACTTAAATTGAATTGAACTTGAATAAACCGGAAAACAAAAATGGTAACAGACTCACATCACAGTAACAACGAATTCTTAATTTGGTGGAACTCACTTCTCAGGACGGCTCTTTAAAACACTGCCTTTTAAAATCCTCTTCTCATTGGATAAAAACTTTCAGAAGCTGTACTTCCAGAACTTTACGAAAGGAGCATTTCCTTCAATGAATCTCATTGTAGCTGTTTGCATAACACTTGCCTTTCTCGATGCAGCTGAGCATCAGGTTGAGGAGCTGTGGGGATCTTTCCTCCAGTATCTGCTGATGGAGAGCGACATATCGCAGCGTCCACCAGGGCAGCAGCTGTTTACACAAGCACACACAAAGAGACACAAAAATAAGTTACATGTACTGTACACCCCTGTTCAAAAGTTTATTGATCTGAGAGAAAATACTTATGCTCTCAGCGGACGCATATATTTCATTAAAAATGCAGTAAAATCACAATATTGAATAGGTTGTGAATCAAAGGTATAATGTTGTAAATAAAGTGCAGTTTCTCACACAGACCAAATAGTGTTGCTTCACAAGACCTTAATATTGTCAGGAGTCAATGGTATAAGTTTAGTTTTGCTTGTACTGTATAGGTTTTGATTTGCCCATTTATTTAGTTTATAAACATCAACAGAATAATTTTAACTGCAAAGACTGGAATATAATCCTTTGAATAGTAGAAAAATGAAGTCTGCAGGGTTTCTGTGGGTTTCATTAAGTCAAATTTAAGACTTTCTAAGACCTTTTCAGGCCCATTATAAATAAAATTTCAGACTTGTATGGGGTTAAACACTAAGCATTTTTTTTCTGATGGACATTAGAAAAAGGTAGTTAATAGTCTCCTCCTAAAAATCTAAATTTTGTCATTTCTTAGCCACATATTTTAAATAACATGTCAAAACAAGCCACCTTTGGGTGTATACATAAACTTAAAAAAGTTGAGTAAATAAATTTTACTTTTGTTAAAGGTTTAATTGAGATGTATTGTTGGTGATTGAATGTGTTGGCCTGACTGGAAAATGAAGACCTGTTTAAAATGATTTAAGACCTAAAAGACAATATTTTAGTGAATTTAGTCTTTAAAATTCAAGACATTGAGTTTTTAAGACCTCACGGACACCCTGGGCTTGTGAATTTATTCTATGTAAATGCATAAGAGAATTATCATACATAAATGAATACAGAGAACACACAGGGATAGTCATATTCTGCTGCTACTGCTTATTTACAGAGAAATTGGAAAGACGTTTACCGTTATGAGTATGAATGAATGAATGAATAAATGAATGAATGCATTGATTTTATTCTTTTGTCAATAAAAATGTAGTTAAGATGCTACTTTTTTGATGTAACAAGTCACCAACAGCTTAGGAACATTGCAGTAAATGCACTAGATGGCACAGTAGATTATTAGCAAATAATATTTTAAATCGTAATCTGTCCCTCATACAAAACAAATAGAGCTAATACAAAAGTCAACAAGCAAGTTATGTGGAACATTTATAAAGAAATGTATGTGAAATCATCATTTAGGACTGATTTCTGAAGGATATTATGAAACTGAAGACTGGATTAATGGCAGCAATATTGATAAAAAAAGAAACAACATTTTCTGAGGAGTAATATTACAACATTTAAACTAGAATAGATATGTAAAATTGATGTACTGTACATGCGTATCAAATGCAGTCTTAGTGCACAGAATATATTTGAAAAATACTAAAAAGAATTAATAGCACTGTAAATCATAAGCAAGGAAATCCTTCTATATTTTTTCCTCTTGCATTTGATCAAAAATAACCAGAAATTCTCAATATTGGCAATAAAACATACAAATTCTAACAAAAATATTTAGTTTTGTTTGTTCAAATGTCTAGGAAGTTCATTTTTTCAATTCCACCTGAAAGAAACAAACAAACTGGATCTTTATTGTACTGTATGTATTCAGGAATGCAGGAATTTTTGAACAACGAAAAACACAAACACTCAAATCGCTGTTGGGAGGATCATCTAACTCATAAATATGGATCGATATGAGCCTGAGTAACACAAACATCAGCAGACAAAGATCCATCCTAATGATCTGCTGCTGTGTAAATTATGGGACGAGGCCTTGGCACACACAAACACACACACAAACAAACACGCCCACACACAACTCACAAGCACACAAAAAGCATGAACACACAAACAAATGCACACACACACCCAAACCAGCGCGCGCACACACAAACAAGCTAAAGAGAAAAAAGCACGGTCATAATTGAACTTCTTTTTGACAGCCTCATAATTCTTCATCGTCTCACTCAGTAATGCACAAATGAGCTTAGAGTAATGACCGCAAACATATGAGAGTTCAATTAAAAAGAGATATCTCCTTATTACCAACACCCACCGCGCCATATTGAGTAACTGCTCAAATAAACTCAAACTGTGGAACATTGCTTGCAACTAACATCAGTTTCCAACAGAACACCAAATCAGTTTTGATTTTAATTCTGCACTCTCCTGCTGTTGCACTGCAGCGGTGTGTCATCTTCAGTTGCCAGCCGAGGTGAACTGTACTGTGTTAATAATGCAGCGGTGTAAAAAGTGCATCATCTCACCTGAAGGCTCTCCAGTTTGGCGGCGCAGTTGACGAAGATGACTCTGGTCAGCAGCAGCAGGAGAGGGTTGGAGACCAGACTGTACACAGACTCTCCATCCAGCTGAAGACTGGACAACAGAGCTGTACTCAGGGCCGCAGGCTGGATATGTGTGAGAGTGGGTGAGGGAAAGGAGGAGAAAGAGAGACAGACATTACAGAACATTAAAACTTGTTTTACGATTATGAATTTCTAACACTGATTTTATTATTAAAGAAACTGTAACAACAAAGGTTGAGTTAAAAAATACTGATTCAATTTCAGATTCAGGAATTCCCCAGTGAAAGGTTCAACAATAATTGGAACAATTTCTACTTTTATTCAGAGCACTCCTAAAAATAAAGAAATAAAAGCTGACATTGGGGCTTTTCCCTTTCAAAATGTACATTTAAGTATGTTTTAAGTAACAATTTGCCCCTTTAATGTACAAATTTAAAGGTGCCCTATAAAGAAAATCGGGGTATACCAAGTTATAGTAGAATAATAAAAGATCAGTATGTGGAAATGGGCATATTGTGAACCTCATACACCACTGTTTCCTCTTTTCATGTAAATTTCATGAGTTTAAAACCCCGGTGGATAACCGGGCAATCAGAAAATAAAAACTGTGACTAGACTCATGGGCCATGACCTCTAAATTTGCATGTATGCCTAATTTGGGTTGTTCATCCGGACCTAACAAGCAGCCATGACATCAAGTTCTGAGATCATAAAAAAAGAGGTCATTAATATGCACACCTCAGGCTGTGTTTGATAAGCAACATTGATAATTTCCCTCCTTTTGTTATTTTTAAGTGTGCATTTTACTTATTATGTATGTGGGACTTTTATTTAAAAAATGCAAGTGCAAATTTGTTTACTGTGCATTACTGCACAATGACAGCACAAGGCGTGTTCAAAATGGCGTCAGGATGCAAATTGCAAGATTTATAGATTACACATTTATTCATCTTCACTCTGAAGAGGCATAAGGTATGTTTAGTTACATAAGGTATCTTTTGTTAATTTATTGTGAGATTTGATGAGTATGTTTAAACGTGTAGACTGCTGAATCGTGTCAAATCACTCAGCTCATCTGTCATATGTTCATGCAGAGGTTGATACTTATTCCTGGCTGTGTTTTCTTGGACTACAGATTCAAAATACAACGCCTTACTGTACATCTCTATGACTTTCTTTTGTCTAGTTTAATAATAATTTAGCCTTTAACGTCAACAGATCTAGTGAACAAAATAGGTTAACGTTACTCTGATTGGGTTTATATTTGTCCGTGTTCAGCGTACATCATGCTGTATGTGAGTGTGTGTGTTTGTGTGTGCGTAAGAGTGGCACGTCAGAACGGAGCTCAATAACATTTACGTAACGAGCCAAATATGGTCAATCGTCGACCTTCTAATTCTATGGGTATTTTATGGAGTAATAAATGAGCTTATAAAACCATTTCTGGAGATTTTTTAAACTTTCCAAAGCCATAAACCTACTATGTAGATATCAGAGAGCAATTTAATTGATTTAACCAATGCAGTATATGGCATCTTTAATGTTAATAGATATCATTTTTTTATATTAATAAAAAAAATGTAAATAACCCAATAACTTACATGTACAAAACAAATACTCCATGGAAACATTGATAGAATAAACTGAAGAAAATGACTAATAATTTACTCGCTTTTTAAGGCTGGTTTATACTTCTGCATCAAGCACAAACACGGTCATATAGCCCTCGTCGTGGTTGCTGCTGCCGTTGATGCCCCTTATAAAAAATGTAACTACACGTTTTAAACGACGGGTAGCGCAAACTCTGTGATTGGTCAGCTGTGTTAGCAGTGACCAGTGTGGGCGGGACCGAGAGCCGCATGAACCTGTCGGAGAGAGTGTTTACAAGAGTAGAATCCTGTGAAGTAGCTCTAGATGGAAACTGTTGTGTTTACTTTATGATTAATGCTGTTGCAAGTCCGCCAGTGTGGTGAAAAATCCAGCCCTCCCCTGGAATCAAGTCTGCTTAGGACCCCTAAGTGATCGTCTGTGGTGAATGCCTGATCAAAAGCTATCATTGTGATACCTTGTTGTGTGGCGAATCAGAAATGCGTTAGATTGTTCTAGCCAGGAGGCTAACAGTAGAGCATAGATCTCAAACTCAATTCCTGGGGGCCACAGCTCTGAAGTTTTGCTTCAAGCCTAATCAAACTCAGCTAATCCATCTGATCAAGAAGGTAAAGACTACTAGAGACTATTAAGTAGGTGAGTTGGAGGTGGTTGGAGGTAAACTATGCAGAGCTGCGACCCTCCAGAAATTAAGTTTGAGACTATTGCGGTAGAGGTAGGATTATGCTAGCACATAAGCAAACTGGTCTATTTAAACAGTATAAAAGATAAATGCTCAATTTTATAACCCATGCAGTCTTTAATTATATACAAGTATATGAAAGGGTCAATACGCTTATAAATTCCATTCAACTGTGAAATAAAATGGTCATTAAATGCTTTTTACATTATTAAAATAATGAACAGGGTTTCATATACTGTACTTTATAATTAGGTGCTACAAACTATGCCTATTACAATGGGGGAGAGGGGGGGTGGGGGTGGGGGCTACTTTTACATTAAGGTATCGTTCAGAAAAAACAAAACACCCACGAAGAAACATGACATAGGGCAAGGATCACCAAACTTGTTCCTGGAGGTCCGGTGTCCTGCATATTTTTGCTCCAACACTAATCAAACACACCTGAAAAAGCTAATCAAGGTATACTTGGTATACTTGAAATACTTAAGCAGTTGTGTTGAGGCAAGTTGTAGCTAAACCATGCAGGGCACGAAACCTCCAGGAAGGAGATTGGTGACCCCTGACATAGAGGAACATAAAAACCTACTGCCAGATAGTGATTCGGAAGTGTTTTAGCAGAGCAACACAAAGAGCACGCAGAAGTATAAATGCACGACTACGCACAAGGCAGGTGTCGTGGATCATGCCGATCACTCGACGCAGAGACATAAATCAGTCTTTACTCTCCCTCAAGTGGTTTCAAACCTTTATGTGTATTTTTTTTGTGTTGTTGTTAAACACAAAAGAAGATATTTTGTAGAATGCTAGAAACCAGTAACCATTGACTTCCATAGTAGGAAAACCAAATACTATGGAAGCCAAAGGTTAACAGCACAAACATTTTTTAAATGTATTCATTTGTGTTCAACCAAAGTAAATAATGTAAAGAAAGTGAAGGATAAGTAAATGAGGATAGAATGTTTCATTTTGGTTGAACAATCATTTTAATTAGAAGAATTTGAGGCTGTATTGTTACAGTATTTGTCCTATGAGTTTTTTATTCAGAGCCTGCTCACGGTAAGTGGCTTCAGTCCATCCATCTCTCTCTATATGCGCTGATCTCAGTCTAATTTACAGGGTCTGTGCTCTCCAGGACAAGGCTGATAAATCAGCAGCTTTAGAAAGGTGTGAGACAGCAGAAAGTGTTTCACACACATACAGTGGGTCTCCAGGGATCTCCAAGGCCTCCGTGGGGTATTAGGGAGAGGAATCTCTTCACCTCAGAATAATTAGGAGCCCTAAGAGGTTTCATTAGGAGCCCTGCAGGCCTCTACACACTTATTATCCAGAGCACTGACCTGCCGCAGTCGCCAGCATCTCCTTCCACTTCATCCAGCTCACACACATACAACCCACACACACATTAAATCACCTCAAGAGTGCATTTAGACGCATGTTCGCTCATTAAAAATGTGCTGATATTAACAAAAAAAAAGCATAATCTTTGATGGGTTAAGACAAAGAATGTACACTTACACCAAATGACCCCCTTAAAGCATTAAAACTACTAGAGTTCAAGTATATAACATTAATCAACATCACGTTCCATAAGAAACCTTACACTTAAGAGTGTGGAAAAGCTGTATATGCGATAAAATATCAATTTAACCTATGCTATTTAATTACTTAGACTAAATTATGTGTATTCCTCTAGAGAAGCTGACATATACTGATAAAGAAACATATTTATTCCTTTGGAGAAGCTGACATACGCTGTTAAAGGAAAATTGCAGGACTTTTATTAAATATGAACCTCCCTTCAACACTTTCTTAACCAGGTGGACCATGCAGAGCTTCAAACTCTCGTTGGTGTCTTATTATGTTGTCTTACATTTCAGCACCTATAAACAAATTCGTTTAACCAGCAAAAGACAAACTTTTCCACACTGAAAAGTTGTGAAATGCAATATCCAAAAAATATGTAATGAACATTGTTATTATTTATTCATTTTGTAATTACGTATTGTTATAATTTGAATTCATGTAATTTATTTATTTAATTATTTGTATTTATTTAATCATTTGTTGGATTCCTGATGTTTCAATATATCATAATAAGTTTCCATTTATACTTATTTTTATTTATTTATTCATTTATTGTTTTTTAATGTATTTTGGTCTATAGTTCAAACAAAACCCAATAAATATATTTTGCGGAAAAAAATTCATACTCTACAACACCTTATCCTGGGTTGGGGGACATATTTCATTTATATACATTCCATAAGGTACATATTAAAATTTAGACAAACTTAATCAAATATTTGATTATATAAACAAATACTTTCCAATTTGTCCCGATACCACTTTAGATCAAGTTGCCTAAATTACTATGTACAAAGTTATTCATTTTACTGTAAGTACAGGGTGGGCCATTATATGTGAGGGGGCAAACTTTTCAAGATGGGTGGTGACCATGGTGGCCATTTTGAAGTCAGCCATCTTGGATCCAACTTTTGTTTTTGTTTTTCCAATAGGAAGAGGGTCATGTGACTCAAACCTATTGGGAATTTCACAAGAAAAACAATGGTGTGCTTGGTTTTACCGTAACTTTATTCTTATACAAGTTATTTACAAGTTTCTGACCACTTATAAAATGTGTTTAATGCTGCCCATTGTGTTGGATTGTCAATGCAAGGCTTTTCCCCCACTCTTCACACACTGATAGCAACACCGCAGGAGAAATGCAGGAGTGCATGTGTCGACACACTAACCACTACACCACTGGTGTATTTACACTTTTGCAGCTGTGCAACATCATCCAAGCAACTGGATAACCCTCGTTCTATGTCTGACTCTGTCATTTTAATTGCCTCAAGATCTAAGCGAACAGCAGAAGCATTGCTTGCTATCTCACATTTAACTGCTTGTAATTCAGCTTTGACCTTGTCAAGTTCATTTGATAATACATTTTTCAGTTCTGTTTGAAAGAGGCTATTTCCGTTTTGATTAGCTCAGTCAGTGGGTTCAGCTGATTCGGACATTATGCGAGGTGCGTTAACAGCGGATTTCCTTGTGTATTTATACTTACGTAGTTTGCTCGCCATTTGGATTCATAAAGAAACCAGCCATTTTATGTAGAGTAATAAAGTCTTAGACAGGTGTGGCATCTCATATTTTCGATGAAAGCTCCTTAAATTTATGAATTATATAAAGTTCTTGCCAAGCTCTGCCAACTTGCACCTTATTCCATTGCCTGCTCAGGAGCGCCCCCATATTTACACTTTTGGCCCATCACTTACACCTTAACACACTTAAACCCATCAATGCCACCAAACCTTTCCTAACCTTATCCGTATACCACCTCAAGAGCACAATAAATTTAATTCAGATTGACCAAGTCATTTAATATAAAGTGGGACTCATATTTTAAAAGGGATAAACTTTTATGCTGTGAACAGTTGGTATAAAAGCATAAAACACTTTTCCTTTTTTAATATTTTAATTTTGTAAATGAGTTTCAGCAATTTTCTATATTGATTTTTTCTAGTTTTATTTTGTAATAATCAGTAGTAGTTTTATATTTAGTCTGTTTAGTTCTTGTTAATGATTGTTTTAATTTTACTTATTAAATGTAGTTTAACTCCAGATGAAAATAGGAAAGATTTCTTTAGCATTCTGTAATAAATGTTAATTAGGGGTGTAACGGATCACGGTTGATCTGTAATCCATACAGATCACATCCCACTGTCAATTGAGTATACAGACTCTGGTTTTTGCCCTTCACATGAACTTCTTCAAGAAACAAACTTTTTTTACTGCCTTAAATTTGTGAAAAGGGTAATGTTGAGACCAACTGATTGACCAACTGCATCCACAGACTGGTTGTTTAATACATGATAACTTGTTTCAAATGGTTTGAGGAAACCGATTGCGGCAAACCATTTGAGTTGACTAACTCTATTCATTTGAGAATTCAATTCAAACCATTTGCCGCAATCGCTTTCCTTAAACCGTTTTTCCTTAATACAGTTGTTAGGACTAGATTCATTTAAGTTTACTGAACTCATATAGATTTGATAACTGAACTTAAAATGTTTAAGTTACTAATAGTCTAAATGTTTGGTGATGTGAACTTAAATAGTATAAGCGTAAATGATTCAATATATATATAAGTTTACAGTACTCAAACCATTTGGCTTCAAAACTCAAACGGTTTGCCAAAATCCATTTCCTCAAAGGGTTTGTGTTAACTTAAATTATCGGGGTTTTACAGTGTACATCCATGAACAAATATAAAATAATATATAGTACTATACCTGAGAAAAGTTCTGGAGCAGGGCTTCAGGAAGAACATCAGAGACATGGAGCTCAACTGGTGGGCCGGTCCAGTTACTCTGGGCGAAAAGGTTCAGACACCCCACTGCCACCGCCAACAGAGCAACTTCCCTACAGTTCACAAAAGATCAGCTTCAGAAACACACGCAAGTTTAACAGCTAATCTCATTACAGCCACTGGATTTACTGCTGAAATACACATTCACCAGATAAATATAGTTTATTTTTGATGCAAATGCACAAACCTGAAGAAATAATTCAGGTGGCAGCAATGTGCCGCTCACTGGAATGAAAGAAAGACCTGAGATTGTAATTCTGCTCTATGGTAGATTTGCTCCCCAGATGCCATTGAGAAAGTACATATTTACATGCACCCGCATACAAACGTTCATGTTTCACTGCAATCTGATGAATTCTCACAGAAGAAAAAGAAAATGGTGGTCGAGTCATGAATCTCATTGCGTATTTTGGTCCCTTTAAGAAGCAGAAGATGAGGACTAAAAAGAAAAAAAAAACATGACATGTATTTCTGCATTCAGCAGCACGAGAACATCAATCTACCTGCATCTAATCTCCCAACAGAAAAACATCCCTCACTATTCAAGCCATTGCACTCATCTACAACCACTTTCTGCCTCTCCAACACAAGCCACAAGGAGAGAGGCTGTATAGAAAGAAAAATAAGGCGAGCGGGAGAGATAAGAAGAGCTGAGGAGGCGCAGCACAGCGCAACCTTCCTTTCCTCCACTCGCTCTTTCTCTGGAGAGAAAGGATGTTAAAGTGGGCTTATCGAAAATTAATAATTCATGGCTGAAAGGAGGGGGACAGAGTTTGAACCCTTCTGTATGGTTTTATTCATTCTCTACACAATAAAACGCTCCACTCAGCTGAAGCTACCATCAACCGGCAAAACTCCTTACGCGGCGGTACACAACACAACTACACTAACTGGAAGTGAAGTCAGCTGCCTTGATTATAATGGGAGCGTTGTGTAAATGTTTTGTGTTTCCTGAATGAATGGATCATTTTGGCGCCATTAGCAAAAATGTGTTACTTTCTTTTTTTACTGAGGATAACAAAAGACGCTTTGAAAAATACCATACAATGTGCATCTCTTGCTTGTATAATGAAAATCCACAAGTACAGCAAATGCACATAAAACATTCATTTTCTTTTCAGCTTAGTCCCTTTATTAATCAGGGCTCGCCACAGCGGAATAAACCGCCAACTTATCTAGCATATGTTTTACACAGCGGATGCCCTTCAAGCTGCATCCCATCACTAGGAAACATCCAAACGAACTCATTTACACACATACACTACGAACAATTTAGCTTCATCTATACCACGTCTTTAGGCTTGTGGGGGAAACCGGAACACCCAGAGGAAACCCACGCCAACACAAGGAGAACATGCAAATGCCACACAGAAATGTCAACTGAACCAGCGGGATCTCAGACCAGCGACCTACTTACTGTGAGGCAATTGTGCTACCCACTGTGTCACCATGCTGCCCCACATAAAACATACAATATGATTTTACTATCTCTTTATGTTTGGTAGTTTTGATTGTTTGTTGCCATATCAGCAACTCAAAGTTATTTCATGACAAGATCAATGGCAAGATCAATATAGATAAAAGACAGAATACATATAGACATAATAATATCAACAACTCCAGAAATCAGTAAGGCCCTAGATGAAAATACTTCAAAACATTCATTAAACACTAAAGGGTTGGTGCAGAGTGTTTAAGTATTGGTTGTGTTTTTTGGGGTGCAAAACAACATGTGCACGTGCTTCATTATTAAAAATATATATATATATCACGTTATTTTTTCACATATCTTACCCTAATTTTACTCTGCTACTCAGCCAACACTCAGCTTCCCCTGGAGGCCCACCCTCAACAAACTCTGATTGGTCAGCTAACCTAATGTGTTGTTATTCATGAATTGGCTCCACATCACCAGAAAACATAACACCTATTACTATTCGCTCTAGTCTTTGCTAAGCTAACTCTGTAAAAGCCAATAGGTGCGTCCCAAACATTGCATACTTATACACTATTCTACACCATTTTGTAGTATAAATAGTGCAAGTAGTGCAATTACACTGAAAACTGAAAATAAGTGCACTTTAAATATCCGGATGATGCACTTATTCAACCGGTACAATGAAGTGTGTTATGTTGGACACTTCATGCACTCAACAGCCACTGCTTTGCTCACATAGCGGAAGGGGTGGAGCTTTCGGGCACTCATGTTGGATTGATTTTGTAAGCGAAGTTCTCCTACAAGAATGATTATACTGCCTCCCAATGGTGAATGCGGTTATACTCAGGGCAGGTATTAATTGATACTTTTGTCATTTATTTCACTGATTTGGCAACCGACAAGTGTCATCAGGGAAACGGTTTGGATTTCCGCTTGGTAAAAAAAAACGTTAGTGTTCCATTCAGGACATCACTACATTTATATACTATGCTGCTGTGTGTAAGTGCCTAAATGCATAGTGTTTAGTGTAGTGTGCCATTTGGGACGCAGCTAAAGTCTCTCTTTGCACTGAAATTGATTGTCGTACATTCAAATATGTTGTTTATGCTCACACAGCTACATTATACAAAAACTAAAGTTTGAAATATGATATTGAAGTGGACCACCCCTTAAAAAAAAAAAAAACTAATTTTACTCTTGTAGAGTTATTTTTTAAACTTTCTATCTTTCTTACTTATCTTAAAATCTTACCATTTCTTACTTGCCACAAAAACAGATCAACAATTTTAATAAAGTCACTCTGCACTCAGGTTCTCATCGAAGTCTTTTGTACGATCAAATATCTCTACAATCTCAAGCAGCCCACTCTCAACACTATAAATAGAAGCTAAAGCTAAAGCTGAGATTTACTGTTTTCGATATGGTAAATGCCACAGTGTGCTATACAGCAAATAGATCCTTCAGACAGTAAACATGCTTTCCAAAGGGGAAATGAAATCTGGTTTTGTGTTGGTGTCCCAAGAACCACCATAGCATGCTTACAATCAGATCTTGTTCAGAGTCATATGGAGTAGATTAGAAGGAAAACAGGTTAGAGAGACTGAGCTACATTACTGTACCGTAGCTGTGATATAAAAAACTAAATGCTATTAGCTTTTTAAAAAATGAAAAGTATGCTGCCCTGTCTAATGTTTCAATAGAAATAATTATTAAATGTCTTTACATAACTGCAAATCACTTTAAGGGGACATATGGTTAAAGTTTTAAGACAAAATAAAGATGATTAAAGGACATAACCTTTATGTGCAATACGATACAAAACTGACTGAAAAGTTAGCAACAGAGATTAGCATCTTAAATGCTAATGTTTAAATGCTAACATGTTTTAAATGAACTACTAGAATGTTTTACCATGTTAAGAACATGACTCATACGATAGTCTGGAATACTCGATTCTGACTGCAGTCAAGTTTCATGGTATATTATTCTGAGATAACAACCACTCAATAAGACAGGCTCATCCAAATCAACCAGAGCATCAGCAAATCCATATATGCTTGTCTCCACTACTGTTTTAGGCACCATTTTGTGACTAAATAAAACATTGGTTAGGGTATGCTCAATCATCTCCATTCACCCGTTTCCAAAGCCTTTGATTAAAGAATTAATAAACTATTACAACTCAGAACAATGATATTTGTCTAATTTTATGTGTTGTGGCAAGCAGCTATGTAATTAGTAGGATCAAGTACATACAGGTGCTTGATTTCATAAAATAAAAACCCTTCAGTCTTGAACATCAGCCCTCTATCGCATTGGGCTGCCAATAAACCTGTCAGGCTTTATTCTGAGATAACAACCACCTGGATGTACTTTATCTCTAACGTAACATGCTGTTAGCATGCCCTAGGCTAGTTACTAGCCTTTGCTAGTGATCGATTGCAATAGGGATAGATAAAGGTCTAAGGGTGTTGAACTGTGTGGATATACTGTGAGTCAATACTTTGACACCAAAAAAACAGCCTACATGATTTTCCATATTTTCTTGATTTTTGTTTCATCTCGTCTCAAAGTCTGGGCTGAGATTGGTCATAGATGAAAAGTATTGAGTCTCAAAAAAAAGAGATCATTAAATAACAAGCCAATATCGTTTACTGTTCTATTTAACTTTAATTGTTAACTAATATTGTTAACTATTTTTCTGTCATGTAATTAGTTAAATAAAGACTGATTGCTTACAATAGTTAAAAGCCAGAGCAAGGCAATAATCTAAATTAAATTAAAATTAACAAAAGCCAAGATGGTCATGCACATCACGCACAATTTGAAGTAAAACATATCATATGCTTTCAGATGTAGCAGCAACACAGAACCATAGGTCATGGATAAGCTGAGCAAACAGCTGTCATTATCGCTCAGTGATCATTTTCAATTTCATTAACGAATGATTTAACCAATTGTGATAAATAATGCAGTATTGTCTAAGTTGTCAGCAAAATATGGATCTAAAAGCTGCTCCATCTCAAAAGCACGTGCTGGAAATTTACTTAACTGACAAAATGTGCATGAAAATCGCCTTTGATTAATCGACCAGTCTTACTTCAAGCTTTGACTGTATCATTACGCAACATCTGTTATTATCACATTTAACCTATTCAAACTGCCTTCAAATTGACATGTATTGGGGTATAAACAAAAAAGCAAAAGGGATTCATTACAAATTGCCCATCAATAAATCTTCCACAGAAACTCTGCATTAACAACACACAGTCCGTGGACTCCAAGCAGCACACAAGCTAAACTCCTGCTTAATAATTCATAGCCAATTACAGGAGACAGCTCAAATAAAACCATAAATCACAATAAATAAGACATTTCAATCCATAAAACAGAGCTCATTTAAATAACGCCATTTAACAGTAAATCTGGTGCAATGAATTTACTGTAATCTAACAGGCACAATGAGTGAATCTAATTGAGGACATCTTTAGGCAGTAGTGCTACTTAAATGAATAGCATTGCAGTTTCACTAATTAAATTTGTCCTCATTTGCATTTAGATTCTAATGAATTGAATTAACTCACTTAAAAATCACGTTTAAAGCAGAGAACATGCATCCAAATGTAGATGCAAATGAATATTTCTCATTATGTGAAGTACATAGAGTACAGAATGCCAGTTAGATGTTCTTCATACATGTTAAGGCTGCCAAATATATCATTTCAGCATCAACATCACAATGTGCACACCCAAAAAGTCATGAAAGTTATTAAATTTTACGAAGATTATCTTGATATCTTATCTTGACATCTTAACACATGTTAGTGCACTGATCTATGTTTGAATGAACCCTTATCACACGACTGTCATGACGCATTCAACTGTCATCATAATCTTAAATACTTGAATGTTTAATATTTAGATTTTTTTTAAAACCATATGAACATGTATATGCATTTATGAATGTATTATAACATCTTTGCGTCATATTACAAAAAACAAATTGCCGCTTATGCAAGGTATTTTTAATGCAACGTCTAGGGGGTTGAGAGTAAATTTGACGTTATTTTCACCTCTGGCTGCCGTCATCAGTCTCGCACTATTTTTTTTTCCTTTTTATGGAAGACTTGTTAGCACCATCGTGGAGTTTTTCTTTTATTATTTCAGCGAATAGGATAGTAAAAAACAAATTGTTTTACTCTCCAATGAAATGTACTCCAAGTTTACCCAACCATGACGTAATTGTAATGTTTGTAACATTAAGATTAGATTAACTTACATTTTTATTCAGTGAAAGCAAAATAGGTGTTATTTTACATTCAGAAAACCATAAAGGACCATTTAATTTTTATCTTAGCTGTGATCTATTTATCTAAGCTTGCAATACGTTTATCATATTCTATGCATTCCCTTACAAATTCAGACCAATCAATATAAAAATAATGAACTGTTTCCAGATCATATATTTTCATTTAATGCCATGTCAGCAACGAGAGCTATTTTCATGGCATAAACGTTTCGATAATAAATATACTATTAAAAACCACAAACAAATATGTTATAAAATGTATAAATTAGAGAGGATTTGTAACATTAAAACATGATTAATGAAAAAAAAAAATCCTGGTGACACTTTGCTGAATATCTCCCTGAGTGAGTTCATGTCGGGGGTGACACAGTGGCTCAGTGGTTAGCACTGTCGCCTCACAGCAAGAAGGTCACTGGTTCGACTTCCAGCTGGGTCAGTTGGTATTTCTGTGTGGAGTTTGCATGTTCTCCCTGTGTTAGCATGAGTTTCCTCCAGGTGCTCCAGTTTCCCCGGCAGTCCAAAGACATGTGCTATAGGTGAATTGAATAAACTACATTGTCCGTAGTGTATGTGTGTGAATGACTGTGTATGGATGCCTCCCAGTGTTAGGTTGCATCTGGAAGGGCATCCGCTGTATAAAAGATACGCTGGATAAGTTAGCGGTTTATTTCGCTGTGGCAACCCCTGATGAATAAACGGACTAAGGGTGCTCTTACACCTAGAATTTTGTTTTAAAACCTGACGAGTTTCCCCTGTTAGCGTGGTTTGTTTAGTATTTGTGAAACCAGCAATCACGCTCGGATCCGGGGCAAAACAATTGGTCCAAGATCGCCTGAATGAGGGTGTCTCACTTCCAAACTTTGGAGCAGATTGATTGTAGTGAGAAAGCAATATGATCCGAACCAGGCTATATCACAGAGTATAATGCATATGTATTGGGCATATATACGGCTATATGAAGAGAGGATGATGAGTAGGGCCTATAACGTAAAGCCTATAATCCATAGTTCTAGCCAATGGCACTGTATGAGAAAGTCTTACCACTTATATTTGGTGACAATGTCTGTGGGTGTCACCATTTCAAATGAAAGCACAGCTTTTCTTGCTCATCGTCATAAATTAAAATAAGCTAAAATGACAGCTGAGCGGAACTGAAAAATAAACCGTAGAACTGACCAATGTGAGGAGAGTTTACTCGCACGTGACTTGTTTTAGCCATTTTGGTCTGTTTAGAAACTTTGCTATGTGAAAGCGAACCACACCAAGAACAAAGTGCAACATTGGAACAATTTTAATCCCTGTTTCGGAACAAAACTATCTGTCTACAGGTGTGAAAGCACCCTAAGCCGAAGGAAAATGAATGAATGAATGAATGAATGAATGAATGAATGAATGAATGAATGAATGGAGTTAATGTCATAAAGAATCCTTCTGCAGTCATTAAAATCAGGACAGTCCAATATAATGTGCTTTACAGTTGAATTGTTTCCATACAGAGCTATAACAAAGTAATCTACTGAAAATATAAAAATGTTAAATAATAACTAAATAAATTGCATTCATATATTGTGCAGCCCTAATAAAGGTATGGTTAAAAACACAGAGAGAACCCTATGTTGGGAATCCTGACCTGTGGCTCCTCTGCTCTTCGGTGGCATCACTCAGGTAAGACAGCACCTGTCTCTCCAGATAGGCCTCAATGCTGTCACCCTCTTCAGGACAAACTCCCAGAAGCCCCTGCACCGCAGAGCTGAAGAGGACGGCCTCAAAATCTCCCTCATATACCAACTGCAGCAATGAACCTGCATCTGAACACACACACACACACACATATATAAGGAGAGAGTAGATATCAGTTCAGACACACCAATGCGCTTACAGTTTATTCCCAAAAGCCACTTTTAGCAGAAATTTCTCAAGTGTCAGCTCCTGAAAAAAAGAGAAACACTATTACCACTTCATCGTCATATTATAAAACTGAAACAAGAGCAGAACGCTCTGTTCTCAAGCTCTTTATTAAAGATTTCAACAATAAGGGTTACTGTAGGTGTATGTGCGAGGAGAAGTTGAAAATCTTTGATACCGACTTCTTGACAGCAAGGAAAAAAGCCTCTGATGAAATTACAAGAATGATCGATGTTGAGATGAGAATTGACTTTTTTAATAGCTAAACTCAATAACTTTACAAAAATGTAACCTTAATGTAAATTTGTACTTTTGTTTTTCATAAATTAAATAATATTTTAAGAATAAAATAATTTGCAATATTTATATTTAAAAAAAACAAGAGGTAACCACTATAAAACTCAAAACTGAAGACTTAACCCCAGTTTACAATATGATTGCTTTGTTTAAACCATCTAAAACACCCACAGGTATGACATTAGAAGATTCATGCAATTTGTCAACATGACATCTTTTAAAACGCATAGCATGATGTAAAATGGGTGTAACGACGGGTGTTAGATCATCATAGCAATGGGTGTTTGTTTAATTTCTCTGAGATGTAAAGACCCCTCAAATTAAATGTTCAATTAGAAAAAAGCTATAATAAAAACGAAGATGAAATTATTATTTTTATACATTATTTACAAATAACTTCTTTCTTTTAATGTCATGCTATCCTCTATAGCAGAGATGCCAAAACTAGGGCCTGGGGGCCAATGTTGGCCTACTCTAACCCTGGATTTTGCTGTGCATATACAGTCAATAACAAAAAATATTACTTAGATATTGTCTTATTTCTGGTCCAAATATCTACATTTCAAAGCAAAAAAAAGATTTTACTTTACTGGCAGGCAGAACGTTTTACTAGTCTTAATAAAAAACTCCCTAATTTTTTTACATTTTGACTTATTTCTTCTCAAATTGAAAACAAAACAATACATGTACCTGACATAAGAATTTTTTTTAAATATTTGGACTAGAAACAAGACAAAGGAAAGTTGATTCAATTTACGTACCTGAACACTGTAAGACTACATAGAAAACAATCAAATAGTGCTGTTCAAACTATGTTGTAAAATTATATTCAGATTGCAATATTTAAATCGAAGAAAAACAAAATATCGCAATATCAGATTTTGCAATATCGTGCTGCCCTAGTGTCTTGTATAATAAAAGGCAGAATTTGTGATATTTTCTAAATTACCAGTAAAATATACAGGTATCAATGCCAACTACGGCTGTGCGATTAATTAAATTCGAATTGCAATCGCGATTTGAAATGTTGCAGTTAGCTAAATCACAAGAGGTTGTGATATGAAATATATATGTAGTATATAATTTCCCCCACAAATGTGTGACTGCTATCTGTGTGACAGTATTACTAGTTAATGGAGTGAGCACATTTTCGTTCTGCCGAAAATCAAAATTGCACAACTTAACCATGCGAAAAGCCCACAATAAAACAAACAAACAGGAAAGCGCAAACAACTGGGATGATGGCGTCTGCCGCTACAGAAAAATTAATAGATTTATTTATATCAGCATGTCAATGATATGGGAATATTTCTGTTTCAAAGTCACAGACACCGAACAAAAACAGGTCATTTGTAAAAGCTGTCGCAGAATTGTTACCAGAGCATGAGGAAATACAACAACCAGCACCTTAAAAAGCACCATGGGCGGCTATATGACGAGTGTTATGCTATAAAGTCAACCGAAAGTATTGAGAGTATTGTCACTTCTCAGTGACACTGAATCTAGTAGCTAGCAACAGCTAAGTACAAAGTTGTTTGCGGCTGTTAAACCTTATAATTGCACCAGGAGATAACTAACGCCATATCTCACTACTGTTAGCCCTAGAGAAAAATTTGTGCTTCATTTCTGAATATTTATAAACAAATTTAAATAAGAGTTGGAGTAAGATCCTTTTTTTAACTAACACTCACTGCATCTTAGCAGTAAGAAGCTACATACAATATCTTGAGCTCAAGCTTGACTACAAAATTAAAATCGCAAATCAAATAAAAAAAAAAATCACAATATTTGTTTAAAAAAAAAACTGAATGAAAAAAATGCAATTAGATATTTAACCAAAATCCCACAGCTCTAATGTCATCCCACGAAACATTGTTAATAAATTTCAGTCAAACCTAAAGTTGTTGCCAAAGGTTTTACCATGAATTTACTTGTACATTTACCTGCACATACAACAACTTCCCACAACCCTTCAGCACAAACACAACAAAAATTCCCCTCCAGCTGTCATCTACTCAGAATCAAACTCAAATTCACTTTTAGCTATGAGGGAGCAACTCGCATACTATAGAGGAAAAAAGGAAACTCATAAACAAGAGGAGAGGAGCAGCAGTACGTCGGCATGAAATGTGTGAACCGTGAAATTAAATTGTTGTACAAAAAGAACTGGCCTGAAAAAGCAGAACAAAATGACTCCCTCAGAAAAAAAAAAACTGTTTATTCACACCAAACTTGCAATTACTTTGTGAAACATATGCAGCAGGAAAAACCCCTGAGCTACACAGAGCCAAAATATTAAATACTATCTACTATAATGAACCATGCAATGAATTAAAGGGAATTATGTGTGGATATCGAATTCGGTTTTAGTCCTGGATTAGGCTTTGCAGATAGAAAATGGTGCCGCCTCTGATCGGAGCTCTAGAAGAACACTTTGCGTGCAGCACAGCCGCTTTGCTCAGTCGTTGATCTATTCTGAAGAGAAACCGGCATGAATAAAAGTGACTGAATGAGGACGTACTGAAATAGCTTGAGATCGACACATCTCAGACAGTGTCCTGTAAATTACACATTAATCACTCCTGAGAATGATGTTCGTGAGATAAAGAGACATGAGAGGAAGTAGGGTGTATACAAGTGAACAGTTACACTACATAAAACATCTGTTGTTTGTCACGCCACTTACGGCACATTAAACTGAGGGAGAGGAGATGGATAATGCATGAAATTAGAAGCAAGGTAACAACATCCTTCAATAATGACTAATAGGGCAATTCACACTAAGATGCATTCTGGCGTTTCATTTTAACTGCATGTTGGCCAATATGTCACATCTCAAACTATCAGTGTCATGGATTGTAGACTACACATGTAATCAAAAGTAGTAGCCTAATCTAAATACATTTTATGAGCCAACAACCTCAGACCATCAATGATATGGTTGCTGACCTTGGATAATTCAAGTCAAGCTTTAACAATGATGATCATTTCAGTAAGCAAGTCAAATAAAGTAAACATCCCGAATGATTATTAACTGGTTAATAGTGTTGCAGTTTCAACCAAATCATACAGTGCGTTCAGGAATCAGACTGTCATGCTCAATGTTTGGGCTCAACATAAATTAACAGATTCAAAAGAGTCCATTAAAGAGTTCAGATGCAAAAACCTTTAAGCACCGTCTGAAATTTTAATCAAAAATGAACATTTTTCTCAGCTTTCTTTGTTTATGTTAAGATATTTCATTTTAAAAATCAGGAAAATTACATATTCTTTGCCATAAAAGTGGTATTACTAAACATACACACAAGAGCCTAATAAAAATGCTCATTGGGTTTTTGCATCTAAATGCTTCATTTGTTAAGGAACTGCACTGTAAAATGATCTCTTAATACTCTTGAAATGTTCAGTACAAAAACTACATTGCCTGCCTGAATTTGATCAATTCAGAGTCAAGCTTTAACAATGATGAACATTTCAGTAAGTGAGTCAAATAAAGTAACGGTAGGTTTTGTGCATCAACCATATTTGTAGTTTTATTTACACTTTTGAACCACGTTTGTAGTTTTAATCCAATTCCTATCTAACATGCAATGTATTGTGGGCAATATTAGCAATTAAGAGTATGGACTCTTCTACACTTAAAATTGTAACCGAAAATAGTAAACTATCTGGGAAACTTTGGCATACTCTTTTCAACCTACTATGGTTTGAGACATACTAATTCTATTTTCAAATACTACTCAGGATAGATAGTATGCGCATTGAATCACTAGAAGGATCAGCTATTAATTAGGAAAGAACAATACATTAAATTGAAATCGCAACTGTAATTGAGCAAAATATTAAGATTAAGCTGAAATAACTTGTTCGGAAACTGTAATAGGCCCATTGAAAATTTGCATAAGTCAATTTAAAAAAATTATCTTTTAATACTATTGAAATATTCAGTAATAAAACTATTACCTGCCTGAATTTTATTCCATTAAAAAAAAATCCACTCAGAAGAGTCATTTATTAAGGTACCAGACTACTTCAATAAAAGAATCCACTCCAAATCATTTATGAATTTCCATAATAAATCTGAACTCAAACGTCAAAATTACACTTAACCTCCAAATTTACTAAAAGAATCACTTTTTAATACAGAATTGTTGTACTAAATATATTCGACTTCGCTACATTTAGATTCGCTTAAAAAATGACTAAAACGGTTAATTGAATAGAAATCCAAAAAAACTATTTAATTGATTTGCTTCACAAAAAAAGATCCCTTTGTTCATAAAGCACACTACCTTAGTGAATCAGAAAACATTATAAACATTTTATTTCCATGTGTTATAATGAACCAAATAAAAGATTCATTTGCCCTGAACGGATCAAGTGCTTGCTTGATTTACAAAAAAGAATCGACTCTTAAGACTCTTCTGTTCAGGAATCGAACTAGGAATGTCAAATTGAATTGTATGTTTCCGAGGATTTTAGTAATTTAAAATTAACTCGTTATGCTTTCGGAATCGAGCTACACGAGCGATCGGTTCTGATTTTATAAACAGACTGGACTGACATTACAGTCCAGTGCTCCAGACTTGAACTTGATTTTGCTGAATGTTTCGCGCTGTGGAATCTGTAGCTGTAAGAGAAGAGCAAGAACCGCTGTCCGACTATTTAATACGGTTTTCCGTCCCATATCCGCATTAGGCTTTAGCAACCGGTAAATGACTATTTTAATTTTGTAAATCATGACACTATTTATGTTCGGTATAAATTAATAATGATAACAATAAATAATAATAGTAATAAATAACAATCATCTCACGGTGTGTTGCGCTCCTTCACCGTTGTCATAAACGCATCCTGAGTGAACGCCCACTAGAAATAACACAGTCGGGTGTTTACATGCAGGTGCAGCCCAGCTTTGTTCTAAAACAGTAGACTAAATTTTCTCTCACCTCAACATGAACAGAATAGATAAACACGCGTCTGTCTGTCTGTCCTCATGATGTCCGATGCCCACACTGACCCTCCATACGGTCAGTTATCAAACACAGAAGTTCTGCTGTCAAATCGCGCCCGGTTAGTTCACGGTCAGCGGAAACTCACATCTGTCTGTCTTTCGGTCTGTCTGGACACAGTCCCGATTTCAACACACATGCGGCACATCTACACCACGTGAGAGACAGACTGCACGCGCAACACTCATCATCCACAACAAGAACCGAGCAGATTCAAGCCCTGAAATCCTCCACAGCTGCACGACAGCATCAACATCTGTCATAACCGCCGCGTTCAACTGAAAGTCGGCCGATTTCCCAAACTCAGGGCTCTCATGCCGTTGTCTCTCACCTGCGGTGCTGAAGCTGCTCTGTTTCCAGTCCAGACTCAATCCGCCCAGAACCGCCGCCTCGAGCTGCAGCATCGCGCTCCTTGTGTGCCCGGTTCCGCGGAGAATGAAACAGCGTCGCGTCGCTCAGGACCTGCTCTCTGTGTGAGTGTGAGACTCGTGTTGAGGTTCGTGTGTTCACTGTAATGTGTTAGATTTCTGCCCATGTGCCGCAAGTGTCATCAGTGAGCAGCCATGACAGCGACGAGGTGCATTATGGGATACTTAATAAGCCAGCGCTAAGGGAGCGTCGAGATTTGACCAGACGCGCAAATGAGCGCAACGTAAATTCACTGTTGATAAACAGCTTATTGTAAAAGCAGATTATCTATCTTCAGTTTTATCGTCTTTTCTTTTTTCTTACTTCTATTAGGTTAATGAATGTGATAACAATAAAGCGTTGTTCTTGAACAAGTCACCGACGTGTCGGCCACATCAAACAATATGCTAATGTCAAATAAAAAATAAATAATAAATAATATATTCATTCATTCATTTTCTTCTCGTCTTAGTTCCTTATTAATCTGGGGTCGCCACAGCGGAATGAACCGCCACATGTTTTACACAGCAGATGCCCTTCCAGCCGCAACCCAACACTGGGAAACACCCACACACTCTTGCACACACTCACATACACTATGGCCAATTTAGCTTAGCCAATTCAGCTATATGTCTTTGGACTGCGGGGGAAACTGAAGCACCCGGTGGAAATCCATGCCAACACAGAAGAACATGCCAACTCCACACAGAAACGCCAACTGACCCAGCCGGGGCTCAAATCAGCGACCTTCTTGCTGTGAGACGATTGTGTTACCCATTGCGACACCGTGTTGCCCTACAATAATATAATATAGTCTAAATTATGGAACTAATTACAAACATAATAGGAAACATAAAAGTATATGACAGTGTGTAAAATAATTTGTAGTTGAATTTGAATATTAATTAGCACAGCTACATCTCTTACTCACCTTCAGGTTAGTCCCTGATTTATCAGGGGTTGCCATAGTGGAATGAACCACCAATTACTCTGGCAAATGTTTAATGAGGAGGATGCCTTTCCAGCTAGAAGCCAGCAGTGAGAGAAAGCTATTAAAGCTATATCCGGAACCCACAGTGCTGGAAAAAACCCAGCAATTTATTTTTTTCCACCGCCAATTATGAACTTCCAGTGAAAGCTTTATGTGAGTGTTTTCAATTTCAAAAGGTTCCTTTTATAGCATCAATGTTGTAAATTAGTTCAAATATAATCAGTTAAATAGACTCAAGCATTCATTTAGTTGTTAAAGCATAAAAAGAGACGAAAAACTGTTTAAACACAGGCGCTGTCATCAGCAGCAGGCTAGCACAGAAACTCCAATGAAAATACTGGGGTAAAATTAATTTTCATATTTTAAAGACATGACGCGGAAAAATATATATAATTGAAAGTAGTGCTTCTTGTTTGGTCTGAGACCCACTTTATATCATATCTCAGCCAGGCAGTGAAGAAAATACAGATTTCTCTCTTTTGAAGAAATCATATCTTAAACACAACTATTTTGAATGGGATGACAATTAACCGAAAGCCCTGAGGCTGGCTGACTGAAAGTCTGTGTGCATATACCCCATTCACCTATATCGATTTGCATGTCTTTGGACTGTAGGGGAAACTGGAGCACCCAGAGGAAACCTACGCAAACATCACACAGATATGCCACCTGACCCAGCAGGGACTCGAAACACTCATTTTTAAAACATTGGATGACATTAAAAACTGTTTTCTAAAACTGACAGTTTCATTTCTGAATTTGATTCTGATTGGTTGAGCTGTATTCTAAGCTGTTGTAAAATACTCTACAACCACACCTTTGACTGTTAGTTGGCAACCATTCTGCTCTCAGAATTGAGGCAACAAAACAGTTTTTCCCTTTGTTTTGTTTTCTAAAGCCTTGCTACGTGTATGATATGTAACAGTTTTCTAAAAGAAATAAGCCATTTGAAGTCATTGTTTACAGTGAATTTACAGTGAAACAGCACAGCATCATGTCTAATAACACCCCTCAGCGGTTGTAAATTCAGAGTAAACCACAACTTCTAGGTTCTTATTGCTGTATTTTATTGATCGAAGTGCAGCCTCATAATACATATTTATCGTCATTAATTGTTGTTACATTCATTTTACATCAATTGTTTCATTTAAAACACAGTAAAATGCAGTATCGGGATCTATTAGAATCGATCTTTATAAATTTTAAAAACAATAGAATTAGTTTTCATTTTTGTATAAATATTTTAATTATTCTGCAAAATAGTTAAACATTATTTCATACGAACTGTGACATTATTAATAGTTTCATTTAATTTCATTTTCTTTTCGCTTCGTTTCTGTATTCAACAGGGGTTGCCACAGCGGAATGAATCGCCAATTTATCCAGCATATGTTTTACACAGCGGATGCCCTTCCAGCTGCAACCAAGTACTGGATAACAACTATACATCACATATATATCACATTCACACACATACGCTACAGTCAATTTAGCTCATTCAGTTCACCTATAGCGCACAACTTCGGACTGTGGGGGAAACCGGAGCACCCGGATGAAACCCAACCGAACACGGGAGATCATGCAAGCTCCACACAGAAACGCCCACTGACCCAGCCAGGGCTCGAACCAGCAACCTTCTTGCTGTGAGCTGATTGTGCAACTATATGTACAATAATATTTCAAAATGTCTTATATTTGTACATTTTAGACAATCCTATAAATAAAGTTGATAGAGAAAAGTTTGGGATGTTTAATCTTTGACCCATCAATATAAACACACACAGACATGCACACTACAAAAAAAATTTCACATACTCAACTGAAGTATTGAAGTAAGAGTTTCATATTATACAGTAAATAGATTCCTTTATTCTTAAATATTTAAAAATGAATAGCTGACTTTGTAAAAGAAATATACACTCACCAGCCACTTGCTTTCCCCAGATACACCTGTCCAACTGCTCATTAACACAAATTTTTAATCAGCCAATCACATGAAAGCAACTCAATGCATTTAGGCAATATAGATCTGGTCAAGATGATCTGCTGCAGTTCAAACCGAGCATCAGAATGAAGAAGAAAGGTGATTTAGGTGACTTTGAATGTGGCATGGATGTTGGTGCCAGATGGGCTGGTATTTTAGAAACTGCTGATTTACTGGGATCTTCAAGCACAACCATCTCTAGGGTTTACAGAAAATGGTCCGAAAAATAGAAAATGTCCAGAGAGCAGCAGTTCTGGTTCGAGCTGACAGAAAGGCAACAGTAACTCAAATAACCAGTCGTTTCAACCGAGCTATGCAAAAGAGCATCTCTGAACCCATAACACGTCCAACCTTGAGGCGGATGGGCTACAGCAGCAGAAAACCACACCGGGTGCCACTCCTGTCAGCTAAGAACAGGAAACGGAGGCTACAATTCGCACAGGCTACCCAAAATTGGATAATAGAAGAGTCTTCATTTCTGCTGAAACATTCGATGGTCGGGTCAGAATTGGCCGTAAACAGCAACAACAACATGAAAACATGGATCTATCCTGCCTTCTATCAACAGTTCAGGCCGCCACAGCCTACCTGAGTATTGTTGCTGACCATGTCCATCCCTGTTTGACCACAGTGTTCTCATCTTCTGATGGCTACTTCAGCAGGATAACCTGCCATGCCATAAAGCATGAAGCATCTCAGGCTGGTTTCTTCAACATGACAATGATTTTACTGTACTTATATGGCCTCCACAGTCACCAGATAGATCCAATTGAGCATCTTTGGGATGTGATGGAACGAAAGATTTGCATCATGGATGTGCAGCCGACAAATCTGATGCTACTGTGTGATGCTATCATGTCAATATGGACCAAAATCTCAGAGGAATATTTTCAGTACCTTGTTGAATCTATGCGACAAAGTATTAAGGCAGTTCTGAAGGCAAAACAGGGTCCAACCTGGTACTAGTAAGGTGTACCTAATAAAGTGGCCGGTGAGTGTAAATGTCAAATGTCAAACGTTTTAGCTTGTGTTTCAGCATACCGAACTTCAAGTGAAAGATTAGCTCATTAAAAAAATAAAGCTAATGCCTAGCAAAAATGAATCCTAAAAGAGTGAGTCAGAGATGATTTTTCGCTTTTTTCTTCGGAGAGACTGAAGTAGTCGGCTTTTCCTCTCATCATTTGTACTTTGAGATATTAATGATATCTTTCTTGTCCAATAAAGCATTTGATTATTTGAGGCAGTGAGCGCTGTGAATATAAAGCTGAAGAGTAATGACTGACTGTGAGTGAGCATAAGGGAATCTGAGGGGCCGTTGACTCCTGAAGCCCCCCTGCTCTGCCTCCGATGCTTCTGGCACTAACAGAAGGTCATTCTCTTTATAAAAATCAAGCAGATGATTCGTCTTGATTACGCGGAGCGGCAGAGGAGTGCTGGAGTCCGCAAGCTTTGGCAGTGTGTGTCAGATATAAGGAGAGACCCCCAAGGACAGGTCAGAAATACATTCACACGCAGAATGATGTGTCGGATTAGACGTCAAATGACCGAAACGGAAACAGTGACCCATGACATTGAATGTGACATTAAAGGTCAAATGCGTTTTGTGATCATATGCTTGTTGTGTACAGGATTTAGTTTTTCACAAGGCTTTCTAAATATCTCCTGGTTTTTCTAAGCTGGCTTTTTTCTTTGTTGATTCTAACATGGTGTGCTTCAGTTTGTCAATTCCACTTAATTACATTCTATAGCTGTTTTCTATCGCTCTTTCTCTCCCTGCTGAGCAGCGGGGAAAGGTAATTACAGAAGCGAGATATGGCTGTATTGTAACCCTCATTAGCCTAGAGAAATATCTGGCTGTAGGACCAAAGCTTCTCTTTATTTTTGATAATGATGCTGTAAATAATAATTTTAATAAAATAAACACACACAGATATGTACATATATAAAGGGGGTTGGGCAGGTTCCCTAGGTTTTAGAACACAATAATTCATTGGTATGGTGTAGGGCAGTGTTTCTCAACCACATTCCTGGAGGACCATCAACACTTCATGTTTTGGTTGTCTCCTTTGTTTGTCGCGCCCATTACAGGTCTTTGAGTCGCTGCTAATGAGCTGTGGATCTGAATCAGGTGTGTTTGGCTAAGGAAACATGGAAAATGTGCAGAGCTGGTGGTCCTCCAGAAATGTGGTTGAGAAACACTGGTGTAGG